AGTAGTAGTAGTAGTAGTATCTACATCAAATGATGACCCCTGAGCTTTGATGTGTATAATAGTAAATTACAAACTGTTCTAATTGTTTGTTTCTTGACCAATAGTGATGTCATCTGTCAAATAAATAGAAATTTAGCAACATGTCCTTACTGTATTCAGCAGAATCTTCAAGTAAAACAGTGGCTTCCAAACCTTTCAGTCTCTGACCCACAAAATAGCACCGACAGACTTTTGTGACACCATTTATTGCTGGTAGAAGTAATTGGGCATTACTAATAAGCCAATTAAACTGTGGCTGAATGAGGAAACAAACAGCCTCAACAACCAATGTAGCATTTTGATGACGATAATGATAATGCTAATAGCCTTTTCTATTATTATTATTTTAATTTCTAAAGATTATTTCAAGACAAGCTACTTAGTGTTTCATGACCCACAGTGGGGCTTTGACCCTACTAACTTTGGGAACCACTCATGTAGATTACGTTTTGGATCACAGTTTGATGTCGGGTCAAGCCTGGCTCTGACAAAGGCTGATGCCTTGTGTGTTTTATGTTACTCTCTATGGAAAGATGATTAGTTTTAATCCCATGAGAAGACATTTTGTATATTAAATTCAGAAACTTTACCAGTGTGTCTAACTTCCTGTCTTTCTTGCCCAAAAGTTTAGTTTGTTTGTGTATTTTTGCCCCCTTGTGGTCAAATCTACCCCATCTGTATGAAATTAATACCAAAATGACTTCAGCCAACAAAATATCATATACCTTTAAATGTTTATATCGCTTCTTTTTTTTTAGAAACAGTTAACCCTGTTTCTGTTGTTACGTCATTTTTGAGCCAAGGGCAGGAAAAGGGGGAAAAAATAACAAAATCATGGTTGTTTATTCCAAATTTTTTATCCTTTTTTTTTAACTGTATTGCAGTTGTTTGAGAGAACCATCAAAATTGTGTAAACTGTGGAGAGATGGTGTTCCTGAGATTCAGCCCTTTAAGTGAACTTATTCGGCTTTTCTATCTCCACCTTATCATTTTTTTAGCCTGTAGCGCTGCTTCTCCTTCTTCCACAGATAATACTGCAGCGACATGCTTTTGCTCTCCTGGCACGCTTAAAACTTCTCTTCCCTGGAGCGACCCGTGTATCTGAGCTGCACCGCTCTAATCAACCAGCTCTCAGCCACTGCTGGACACATTTAATGTTTACTATAAAACCTTTAAAATACAATCCAATATGCCCACCCCCCCCCCAACACACACACACACACACATGCTCATCATTCTTTTACTGCTATGAATATTTATAATGAATCTGATGCAGCGATAATACATTTTGTATGCTTCCTTATCATTTTGAAGCCTGAGAGAAAAGAAAACAAGCTTTTTTTGTTTCTTAAAGCATGGTGATTTTTTTTTTAAATTTGGGCAAGATAAAGTTCAAATAAAGCTGACCTCTTTCGCCCCTGAAACCCTGAGGAGAGGAGCCGATTGTGGGAATAATTTAGGTTGCAAACCACTCCACAGCCTGGAACCAAACACAAGGAAAGCATCTCCATCTTGGACTGCTGCTCAACTATCTCTCCTCCTCCTGCTTCCTTCTGCATCCTGCTCCAATCACGCTTTTTCTTTTTCCTTTTTTTTTCTTTTTGCTCCAAATGCAAATGAATCCGCTCTCCTTTTCACCAGCCAGACTGAAGTAGTGCTTTTTGTCTGACTTGAAGGTCTGAATAGCCTCCTTTGATCATTACGTTCAATATTTATATCGTAATAATCAAGAGGCAGTCTTTCTTGTTGCACAGCTCGGCTTGGATAAATTTTGAATTTAGCAAATCAGCCGCTACACTGTTGAAGCTTTTTTGCGTTGTTGAAGATATCAGCAGAAAGTCTGGCCTTGTCAGCTTTATCTTTATATTTTTTTGCAATTCATACAATATTTCAAAACCTTTAAGATTTACTTTTAACATGATTCACTGTAAACTCTTGTCTTTGAGGCTCAATGACAACTTTTGATACTGCTCATTCTTTCTTCTCTTTGATTGAAAACAATCGTTCGAAGCTTCAGACTCAAACTACAGCTTTTGAAATGATGAAACCTGAAATTAAACAGCTCTTATTGTACTTCTGACCCTAATGTCTTATCAAAAATGATTTGTGATGAGTTTGTCAGTGGTAAAGATGAGAGTATGCATGAATTAAATCATTGGTATATACTGTACTTTTATACCAGGCTGAGCTATCTGCTGTCTTACTATCTCCTCATCTATATCAATTGCAAACAGACTGAAGGTTATTCACTTCACTCCCAGGAGGACGACTTATTATCTGAGCCTAAAGTCTGGACAGAAAAAGGGAAAAAGTCATTTAAGTTTGCCGCCCCCGTCCACCTGCAGAACTTCAATCTAATTTAAAAGTTAAGGTTTTATAAAAAAAAAAAAATGTTAAGGATATTTTAAAGGGTTCTCGGTTAGATGTAACATTAGACATTATTTGGTAAACATTTCTTTCAATTTTATAAATGAGACTGTAAAAATACTGTAAGTTGTTTAGTTTTTATAGATTTAGAAATACAAATTTTTATTATATTATTATTGTCTCTATTTTATTAATGCTGTAAAGTATTCTGGGTATATGACGGCAGAATATCAGTATCAATAATAAAAATAAAAATGCATTTTGTGCAAAAGTTTTAAACCATCCTAGTTTCTTCACCCTTTGCTGCTAAGCATCCAGACGTTCTTATAATCTTTTAAAGTTGTCTTGATCAATAATTCTTTCAGAGGTCCTTTAAAGTTTTTCTTTAAACTTTAGCTGCCTTTTTTTCCCCACTCAATTTCTGCCCAGCACAGTTCCTGACCATGGCTGCACATTGTACAGTATGTGATTAAAAATAAAAAATGAGAACAGATGGTGCATGGAGGAAAAAAGAAGAGGCCTTTAAAAAGAAAAGATCTGCTGCAGAAGAAAAGTGTCTGAAAGTCCTGTCTTTAGGAAACAGGAACAAAGCCAGTAAAGACCTGAACCAGGACCTGATATATTTATAATGCTAAAATAAACATGGTATTTATTTTTAATCCAACTAAAAATGAGAACAAGTAGTGTCTGTTACAGGCTGCTGCTAGAACCAAAGTGTGTAAGGATTCTGTATTACAGATGTTTTCATAAGTTATGTGAACAACACTGGTTAATCTCATTGTATAAATATGTGTATGGTTTTTCCATTTCAAAATAAAACAGCAAAAATGTATGGAGCCCACGAGGGGACATGGGAGATTTTTTTTTCTTTTGCATTCCCACTCAATAGTGTTGCGTTACCTCGCAAAAGTCGTTTATTACTGTTGTGCCTGCCGGTTTATTGACAAACTCACATGTTCACCATTAGCGAGTTAGCCTACTGCTTTAATTCAGCTTCAGAATGAATATATCACACAGCCACGCATGGAAGTATGTCATATGACGATATTTTAACACAGTGCAGCCACACAACATCAATGTCAATTTCATGAACTGTGACGACACATCCTGTTTTGGTAACTGGACACTTCAAAATAAAAGTCTGATTTAATTCAGTTCATATACAAAACAAACTTTTGCGTGGGAATGCAAAACAACATTGCGAGGTAATGCAAAAGTATTGCAAGGTAACGCAAAAGTTTTGCGTGGGAACGCAAAAGAAAATACCCCCCAACCCCGTCCCCTTTGCGGGCTTTGTAAAAAGGAAAACAACTATCTTGTTTTTTGTTTTGTTTTGTTTTGTTTTTCCAAAAACATTAAATCAAACTAATAAAAAATCCACAGTGTTTGATTTTTGCTTCAGCTATTGAAATCTAAAATAAAATATGTGGTTGTTGTTTTATTATGTAGCAATACCAGAAGAGATGGAAGTCACCAAAAAAACAGAGTTCATATAGTGAATGGAAACCATTCCTATAGATATTGGCAATGGCTGCACTAAGACCAGAGTCATTCTGCATAACGTGGATAGCCATTTTTGTATTTTATTTTATTTTATTTATTTTTTGGTTTTGGGTTGTTGGTTTTCTAATTTGGTTTTAAAACCAAGAATGACAAAAAAAAGGTTAACTATTTGTTTTATTCTCTTTTTTATGGAAAATAGCAAAGAACAGACCATACGCAGATTAGTTTAGAAGTCTTATACCTGAATAGTTTTAGACATAAAATGGAGAAACTGCAGTCAATGTTGAAAGGAAAACTTTCAGAGCTTTAAAACATTTGAAGAATTGTTGATCAGGATCAGTCAGAAAGATCACCAGAAAGTCCGGCTCCTTAAAAGGTAAATAGAACAAAATGAGGGATGAGTTTAAGACATCTGGACAGTACCGTCTACTTTTTATTACTTTAACCTCATATGCAGAGCATCAGTACTGTAGTTATATTAAAAAACTCTCAGTTTCTTTTTGCAGCAGCTCTGTAGCAGAAGTTAAATAAAGGAGGGCTTGAATCTATAGGCAGATGGGAAGAGGAGGTTCTTTCCATACGAGCACACATTTTCATTTCTTATCAGCTGAAGTCTTGTCAGATAGCTCACTGTGGTGTGAAGGTGCTCAACTTTTGCACACAAAAAAAAACACATTTGCTTTTTGCTGCTATCATCTCTTACTCCCCTCAGATCACCCAGATCCACCATCGTCGTTCCGCCAAGTCAGCGTAACCCACGATTCTGTCACTCTGGAGTGGATCCCTAGTTTCAACGGCGGTTTGGAGCAGAGATTTCGGATAAGGTAAAGCGCCAAATGGATATGCTTATAAGATAAAGGGTTCTTTGACAGAGCCTTTCCCACTTTGACAGATACCACTGGAACCAGTCAGTCAGCTTCCTGTACGTAGACGTCTTCCCACCAGACGCAACGACCTTCACTGTTACGGGCCTGCAGCCGAAAACCACCTACAGCTTCTCTGTCAACGCTCTGAACGTGATCGGAGAGAGCGACTACGCTGACGACAACGCAGTCTTGATCATCACCACCGAGGGTTAGTTTGGAGGTGCTCCAGGTATAAGTGGCACAAACAGTTTCTCTGTATTACATTTGACAGAAGTTTGGGTTTGTTCTCCTGTTTCCCTTTACTCAGAGGAGCCAGAGTCAGAAGGACCAACAGCAGCAGACCCACTGAGTAAGTTTTCCACTACATCTGCAAAACGTTGCTGTTTGCGTTGCAGTTTTTGCCCTTTACCCAAGTCGTGTTGATTTAGACGTGTCAAAGGTTGCAGTTGTATTAGCAGCAACTTTCATAGTACCACACACCTTTAACGAGCTGATACATTTTACTTATCAGAGAGAGAATCCAGATTTGTGGAAAGACTAAAAACAATTAATGTTTACCTTGTTTGAAAAAAAAAACTGGGTTTTTTCTTTAAACAGGTAGTTGAACTAACAGCTAATCTGAGTGGGACAGATCCAAAATACGTCAATATTGTCCTGAAATGACTCAAATCACAATCGTTATTGGCATTTATTTAAATGTTGTATTTATTTATTTATTTACATTAGCGGCACAGCAAACCACTAAGTTAGCTTCACTCATAGACCCCTAATTAAAAATATATCTTTGCTTATACGTACAAAAAAATAGCGGAAGATTATGCTAAACAAGCAAAAATTAGCAGAAACTGATGCTAACAACTAATCGCTAACCGGTAAAACATCTGTCAACATCTTCGTCTCCTTGAAGCTGAAGACTGGTGGGACTGACATGAACCTGTTGATGTTAGCTTGTTAGTTAGCTGTTAGCGAACTTAGAGTTCGCAACATATAATTTAGCAAAAGTGAATTGGGCTAATAACGCTCTTTAAAGTTGATGAAAAAAGCTAATCGGCTACATGAAAATTTTATTCTACTTTTAGCTGTTAGCTGATCAGCGGTACCATGCCCACCACTGCCTTTGCATGGCCACTATTATTGCATAAAATGGTTATTCCTTCAGAAATGAAGTTCCTGCAAGACGTGCTACAACTAGCTGCTGCCGCTGCTAAATTTGTAAATAATCACAGAAATCTGTGTATATTAACATTTATCAGTTCATCTGTTTTCTTTAGCTGCTTTTATAATTCTGGGTCACCTGGTCTCTGGTGCCAGAGCTGGGTTAGCTTATCAGTTTGCTTATAAATAAATTCTATTTCTCCAAACTGAGGTCATTTAAAGAGCTATCTACAACAGGAAATATATTAATTGTTCATAATCTCTCCACTGAACCCCACTTCAAAACGTTTGAACTTTGCATTTAAAGGTCAATGAGAGGCTTGTTCAGTCGGCCTCAGGAGTTATAGTTTTTAAATGTCTTCACAGAAGTCCACATTTCTTTTCCTCAATGACGTTTCTTCCCATATTTTAATTGTTTAAAACCAGATGAAGGATTCCCAACCTATCTGACGGTGGCGTTCACTGTGGTGTTTGGAGTCTTGCTGGTTGTAAACTCACTGGGCTGCTACTTTGGGAAGAAGTGGAAAAACAGGCGAGACAAAACAAGTAACCATGATCATCTTTCTTTTTTTTTTTTTTAATCTATGGATTTGGGAAGTGTTCGTCCCTTTGTGTGGTTTTGTCGTGCTCTGATTCCCCCCCAACAGAACTCTAAAGAGATTACTCTGAGCAACAATGTAATTGTCAGCTCAGCATCTCATCTCTTTCTATTTGTCTGTCCTGTCCTCTCTCCTTTCGCTCATCCTTACCTCGCTCCATGTTCATCCCTCAAAACTGTCACTTCCTGGTTGTGTCCGTATCGTTCATCTCGCAGGTCCGGTTTCCCGCCCTTCCAGTCTCATCTCCTCTTTTTGTCTCTTTCCATTTGTTTCCCAGCCTAAACATCAAGGCATCCCTCTTTTCCTTTCCTTCAACACCTCTCTGTTTTATTTGTTTGTTTATTTTTTTCATACAATTTTTTTTCTTTTCTCTACAACTCCCTACTCTTTTCATTCACTCCTACTGTCTGGTCTCCTTAGTTTTCTGATTAAATTCAGTGCTTCTGATTGGATTCTCTTCTCGCCGGGTTCTGACTTCCCATATATGAGCCTTTTTTTTTCTCCATCTTCTCTCCTGTTTTTGGTGTCCCCAGCAGGGGCAGGAGGGGGCAGTGTGGTGAATAGACAGAAGAGTGAGGAGGACGGGTAAGTCAAGGCTTTGCTGTTTTTTTTTTACAGGAGGAAATAAAAGTAACCGTGCATGTTTTCTCAGAATATCAGAAAGGTGATTTTTTTTTTTTTTTTTTTTGGTGATGTCTGTTTGAATTAAAGGCCTAACATTGTGTGATGGGATGAATAAAATCTGCTGCCTCTCATGCCAGAGTTTTAAATTATTTCATGGTGAGCTGTAACCTTTATGGCCAAACCTTGAAGGTTACATTATATTGTCTGTAATTGATTCTCAGAATATGTGTTGGGAATGACTGGTAGCTACCAAATTTTAGCTCTGTTTGCTTAGCTGTGCAGCTATAGTTAAGATGCAGCGATTACTTTCTGAAAGATTCATTAATATCTATTGTTTGCTGTTGTTCGTGAGATATTTTTGCTAATTAACAAACAGGATTGACTTCATCAGTTAATGTTAAAGTTTCAAGCAAAGATATTTTGCAATAACAATTGCCTTCAATCAGACTAAATTTTTGCATAATATCTGTGATATTATATGAGTTACAACCATTTTTGTGTTTTCAAAGGTGAGTTGCCTGCGGTGGCCTTCTTGAATTGGGTTAAGTCTAAAAGTTGACCAGTTGTGGAGGCATCCATTGTTTAATTCCTCATCATTTTATTCACATACATTTAATGGTTCATGAGATATTTTGCTAACAGACAAACACAGTGTCTAATAAGTAAATGGCAAGATTTTACAAAAATAATCTAATCTATTATTGCGCCAAACGTTTGTTGTAGATTAGTCTCAGCTACTATCACACCAAAGTTTAGGTCAATATCTGTAAAGTTGATTGAGTTATACTAATTTCTGTGTGATTTAAGATGCGTTGGTTGTGGCAGCCATCTTCAGTTAGGTTGCCTCCAAATGTTAATCAGTTGAAGACAAACATCCAGTAATTAATTCCTCAAGGTTTTGTTTATGTACATTTAATAGTTCATAAGATTGTTTGCTAACAAACAAACATAGTTTACTCAAATATCTAATGATAAATTTTTAACCAATAATCTAGCATAATCTATTATTGATCCAAATATTTGTTGGGGATCGGTCTCAGCTACTATCACACCAAAGATTAGGTCTGTGTGTGTAAAACTGACTGAGTTGAAGCCATTTTTGTGTTTTCTAAGTTACATTGGCTGTGGCGGCCATCTTGAATTAAGTTGAATTTAAAATTTAATCAGTTGTAGAGGCACATTCAAAGATTAACTCCTTAAAATTGTATTCTTCTGACAGTAGTTATTAATGAGAAATTTTGCTAACAGACAAAGACAGTTGACTCTAATAGTTAATGGCAGAATTTAACAAAAAAAATCTTGATCTGTTATCGCTCAGAATACAGTATTTATTGGGAATCAGTCTCAGCTAATGACACATCAAAAGTTTAAGTTAATGTCTGTAAAAATGACTGAGTTATAGCCATTTTTATGTTTTCTAAGGTGAATTAGATGTAGCAGTCATCTTGAATTGGGTTGGGTCTAAAAGTTAAACAGTTGTAGAGGCACATCCATTGATTATTTTCTGTAAGTTCCATTTGAATTTGTTCAGCAGTTCATGAGATATTTCATTAACAGACAGACAGACAACCACACACAGGCAAAAGCATCAAACAATAGTGTCTGATCATTTTTTTTCTTCAACCCTCATCACAAGATGTAAGAAACAAACCATTAGTTTCTAATCATTGAATGCTCTGTTATTTAAAATTTAAAGAATGCAGAAAACATGTTTGCATGAACTTTGAGTGCTTCGTATCGCTCCTTTATTTACTCCGGAGACTAATTATTGGCAGTGCTGTGGTGGAGCTGACAAAAATCGGATTTCTCCGTGCAGGTCGAGTCAATCAAACTCCAACAAGTACGAGAGCGGAGAAAAAATCAACGCCGCGGCCCAACGCACCCTCATCATCGACTCTGGATCCGAAACCGACAGCAACGCGTACGAGAGCTACACGACGGTAGGAGAGGAGGAGGAGGAGGAGGGAAAAGGGCAAGATGATTATATGCAGAGACAGCGAGAAGGTTGACTGAACAGATGAGGAGAGGAAAGAGGTTAGGGCGGGGGGGGGGGGGGGGGGGGGACAAATCTGGCAGAAGAGGAAGTGGAGAATTCAGCCATAACAAGTAGAATGGATAGATAAACTAATGAAAGCCCTTAGCTGTGCGCAGAGCCGGAGCGGGGATCAATAACTCACCATTTGCATTCGAAATATGCATCGATCTTGGAGAAATTATCATTTTGTACTTTTAAAAAAGCCCAACAAGGATTTAAAGCGTGAAGAAAACTGTTGAGTTAAGTACAAGCAAACAGATAAGGAGAGAGCAAATCCACCGAGGCTGACTTCACCTCATCCCTTATTTATCTTCTAATATATCTTTTGATTTTTATCTAGAGGTATGAAGATTTGATTTGCTGTAGCTTTGTTTATTATTATTTATTTTAAAAAAATCACCCATATCTGGACTGAGAATATGTGTAAATATGGAATGAAGTTACATAACCCCGATTTGATGTGTTTGCAATCTTTTCTGTTTTATCAGGAAAACCCTCATTACTATTATCCTATTGATGGCTACAAGCCTTCCCTCAGGCCACACCCTGAGGAACAACGTCACCTTGGTGAGATCCTAATCTGCCTGGAAGTAAACAAGGCAACATTATACCTTATATCAGAAATCATCAGCCATGAAGGGAACAAATGTCTCAATACGGATTTGTTTGTTTTTTAAAAACACTGACTGAAAGCTTCACAATCATTTCTATTTTTATCTCCCTGGGCTGTTGAAGACATCATACCTTCGAACTATGAGCACCATGTGTATGAAGATGTAAGAGACTGGGAAACGTACCAGGACATGCTGCCTCCCTCCCTCCCTTTCCCGCCTTTTTCATCTGACCACAGATTGACTCTGCAGAGGACAGACTGGAGGACACCAGCTCACCCTCAGGTCTGTAAAAAAATGATAAAACATTTGTCATGACATTTAAAATAGTCAAAGGGTTACATCTAATGGGGTTTTGTGAATGAGTTGTGAACAATTAATATCTTACCTGTTGTAGATAACTCTTCGAACGACCTCAGTTCAGACAAAAAAGAAGTTTATACTGCAAAAATTTTTCATCTAACCAACTCTTCAGAATGTAATCTAGTATTTATTTAACTTGTTTTTTGGATGGCTAATTTTTGCAGTGTAATTCTGACTGCATTGTTAACATATTGGCTTGATTTGACTGAAACTAGGATAAAAAGGGATCACAGCATTTTAAAGGGATCTCTGACTACTTGCACCCATTGATTTTAATATGTTTCTTTATTCTACTAAAGTTGTTTTTTGACATGTCAAAAACTTCTATTTGTTTAAAAAGTTGTCTGTGTTTATTACTTTTCTCATTTAAGCACATCACCATTTTGTTACTGATGCAGTGCATTTTGGTGATGATGATGATAGTCAGAACTAAAACAGAGTCAAGGCTAAAAAGCTATAATGTGTAACAATGAAATTATAGTTTATTTGTTTTCTGTACTCTGCACAATATATCGTTTGAGATAGTCAAGCATGATATTTAGTAAAGTAGCTCTGGAGCTAACACCATATATATATATA